ATGAAATGGAGATGGAAGGAGTGGAGGCAGGAAGAGACTATTTAGGAGGATGACTATAGCAGTTCTACAAACAGGAGGTAATAATAGCATTTTTATAGTGCTTAAGGGTTTCTAAAGTGCTTTACATCTGTTACCTCATTTGATCATTACTCAACAACCCAGTGATACAGGTGCTATTGAGGAGCCTGAGGCTGAAAGGTTAAATGCCACTCTCTGGGTCACATAGTTAAGGATTCAGAACTTAGGGCTCCAAGTCCAGCATTCGGGACATTTCTCTACCTGGTAATGAGAGCTTGTACTGGGGGGCGGCATTTGGAACAGAGATAAGAGTGATAGCATTCTTTATTCTTCTCCTGGCCAGCACATTGATTACCATTAAGTGTGCATTTTCTAGGGTTTTCTATACAAAGAGAAAAGAGTATGTAAATTAAAGGTAAATATAAAATATATAAAACATGAAAATTCTACCCTCCCCAGGTAGGGAGAGTTCTCTTTTCTCTTGTTTATTCCCCATAGCCCCATAATCTGAGGACATCATTATCTGACACAACTCATTGCACTGTCACCATATCCTTTTGCCAGTACAAGGTTCACAAAGCTCAAAGAATGAACAGATTTATTTAAAAGTCAATACAATGAATCTGCGATGTTATCAATTTGAACATATCTTCCTTCAGTTCAACTCAATCATGAACTGCAGCACATCCATGAATTCTCATCCTATGTGATTCTTGTTCATGTTCTTTACTAGATTCTCTTGGAAAGATCTAGTCTTTCCATATTTTATACATATCAATGCAGCTGTTAGGCTGTTCTAACTTGCTCCATTATATAGTCATTGAACCTCCTTTTCCAAACATGCACTTCCTCACTGATATTTCATAAGCCAATGCTGGTGTATAGGTCACAGGAACAAATAGACTCATGGCATGTGTATAGGAAATAATGACATCCACCTATGAATAACATTCATTGGGCTGCCAAACCACAATAATTTATAGGTAATGCCTGAGGTAGGGGTCCAATCAGTTACATCCTATAGTCTGTCTCTGTCCCTAAGGCTGGGTCTCCCTATTTCAGCCACACTGGAAATACCAAGACCCATTCATTGGCCATTGATCATTCATAGGTATGGAAGATCTTCTTTCTGGTATTGCTCTGTCCCTCTCTAGGCAGCCTGGTGGTCCCCACTCTCAGGCACTTACCATATTGGTGCTGAACTTAGTAGGGACACCTCAACTGTTTAGTCTGCTTCAGCTCGGAGCTCCAGACCTCAAGTGACCCACCAGCTACGAGGCTCCCTAGCAGCAGCACTACAGGGGTGTGCCACAATGCCAAGTCCTTCAGTGTCTCCCCCTGGCCTTCCAGAAGAACACATGCAGCCTCTTTTCATCAGCATATCCCTCCATGGGCATATACCCTCTTCAAGCTACCTGGTTTTTTTATTATTATTATGTGACAGCTCCCAGTAAACTGGTAATAGTGGCAGTGGCAATAATGATGATGACGATGATGATGATGTATGTGTGTTCGCTATTAGTGCCTTTAACAACTTCCCAAAGTAGTTTTTCTCTACCGTCCTCTACGGGATTGCTTTACTAGCAATTCTCCAGCAGAGGGAGATAGACGACTCCTTTTGAAGATAACGACTAGTATGGTACTTAACTTTTCCCATGCCTCTAAGACAGCAGCCAATACTGTAGCTGTGGGAGATAGTCCAGAGCTCTTCTTTTCTTGGTCTTCCCTGGATCCAGCTCTAACATAGTGCCAAACAAAAGACCTCACTCTGGATTTCTCCCTTGTGCATCAGCTCTGCTGACATTTAGCCTACAGAAGCTTGCTCAGTGATCAGAAATACCTCCTCTTGCACCTTCCAAAAACATATCAACCTCAATACATTTAGAGTAAATTTCATATGGTTTCCTCTTGGCCTACTCCTAAATTTCTCCTAAATTGTTCTTTTGGACCTTACAAGTTGTTCTTTGGTTAACTGGGTGGGGTTATTTAAATGACCTGAAGCTGCTTCCTGCACCATTCAGGATAGGGAGATTGACCTGGTAAGAAGCCAAGTACTTCAGTATTTCCACACATGACAGAAGTCATTATAGTCCTGGACACATTTGAATTCAGCCTTCTATGATCTGTCTCTATTCTATTTTCTATCTTATTTCACACTACTTACTTTTCCACATTCTATGTCTCTGACTACTTGGTCACTCATCACTCCTGGTTCTAGAAATTCCTTTACTCAACCACCTAGTCTATCCCCCATGTCTGGAATTGTATCTTCATCTCTACATGTGGAAGATCTTTTCTCTTCAAGGCCAAGCTCAAGTGCCATGTTTTCCCTCACCATCTCAGCTCCAAGTGATCTTTCCCCACTCAAATTTTCACAATCTGGCTCTCCTCTTTACTTCCATCCCATTTTATCTTGCACCATACTTGGCATTAGAGTAGAAAGTTCTTTGCAGGAAGAGATTGTTTCATTCATTGTCTTCCTATCACTAGCACCTGAGACAGAGCTTGGCATATTGTGGTTTAATCATTTCAGTCATGTCTGACTCTTCATAACCCCATTCGGGGTTTTCTTGGCAAAGATGCTAGAGTGGTTTGCCATTTCCTTCTCCAGTTTATTTTACAGATGAGGAGATGAGGCAAACATGGCTAAATGACTTGCCCAGGGTCACACAGCTAATAAGTGTCTGAGGTTCAGATTTGAACTCAGGAAGATGTCTTCCTGATTCCAAGCCCAGTGCTCTATCCACTATCCTGACTGCCCCACTTAACATATAGTAAGCACTTAATAAATGCTTGATGATTGAATGACTGTGCTCAAGCCTTATTCACCCCATTAGATTGTCAGCTCCTACAGAAGGATTTGTGCACTCTGAACACACCTCCTTTGCTCATCTCAAGATCAAGTATGATCATGTCACCCACCCACCCCCTCTGCTTAATAAACTCTAATGGTTCCCTATTACTTCCAGGAAAAAGTAATAACTCTGCTCTTTGGCATTTAATGCCCTTCCCAACCTGGCCTCAAGCTATCTTTCCGATTGTCACAATCTACTCCTCTCTATGAACTGTATAATACAGCTACGATGGCCAATCCAAAGCTTACGTAACAAACATTCATAAAGCACTTCCTATGTCTAAATCACCGTATTCAATATTGGGGATATTAAGATGAAATAACAAATATGAGTACTCTCAAATCTCTCCTTCAGTAGGTATTCTAAGATGCAGAGGTGAAGAAGAAATGTGTTCCAGACATGCAGGACAGGAAGGTTGGGGCCAGTTTGATAGACCTTAAATATCAGAGAAATTGATACTTGATCCTAGGGGTAATAGGAAGCTACCAGTTTACTGAACAATGGAGTGATGTGTTCATGTATGTGCTTTAGGAAAATCACTTTTGCAGAAGTGGAGGATGGATCACAGAAGGGGGAGATTTGAGGCTGGAAGCTCCAGGTGAGAGGTGATGAGGGCCTGAACTAGGCTGGTGGTTTCATGAGTAGAGATAAGGGGATGTGTAGGAGAGACTGTGACAGTAGAATCAACAATATTTGGCAACTGATTGGATTTGTGAGGTGGAGGAGGAGGAGGAGTGAAGGATGAGTCTGAAGCTGTGAAGCTGGGTTACTAGGATAGTGGTGCCCTAGAAAGAAATAAAGGGAATTTGAAATAGGAGTGGGCTTTGAGGAACAGAGTTTTGTTTTAGATATGTTGAGTGTGGGATGCTTATAGGACATCCAATTCTAAATGTATAGGAGGTAGCTGATGATTTGGGACTGGAGCTCAGGAAAGATATTAAGAGCTAAATACAGAGATCTGGGAGTCATTTGCATAGAGATGATAATCAAAGTTATGGGAACCAATGAGATAATCAAGCGAATGTACACAGAGAAGGCCCAGGGCAGAACCCTGAGGTATAACAACAGTTCAAGGCATGATAGCAAAGGAAACTGAGGTCAGAAGGGCAGGAGAACCAGAAGAGGGGAGAGAGAGAGTATAGCCAGATATACCTCTAAATGCTACAGTCAGAGCCAAATGCTGCAGAGTAATATGCCTGGAGGCACTTACCAAATGTTTCTTGGAAGAAAAAAAAAATGTTTCTTGGATTGTAGCAAGCTTAATTCCTACTTCTGTCCTCTGATTTCAGTGCTCTGTGATCTGGTGCCCAGGTTAGGTGTATAGAAAGCTGGGGGAAGTGAAGCCAGAGATGTAATTACACAATGAAGCCTACTAGAATCAGTGATGATTCTATTGTTGAATTGCTCTACTCAGTAAACAAAGATTTCAGTTGGCTAGAGGCTAGAAGAACCTGGGAAGGTGAAATTTAGAGAAGTCCAGGACCTAGGGAGGAGCCACACCTGGAATCAGAATATTATGGCTGGAACTTGACCATCTTTTTTTTTTTTTTTTCCCCCTTAGGCAGTTGGGGTTAAGTGACTTGCCCAGGGTCACACAGCTAGTGTCAAGTATTTGGTCTGAGGCCGGATTTGAATTCAGGTCCTCCTGACTTCAGGGCCGGTGCTCTATCCACTGCGCCACCTAGCTGCCCCAACTTGTTCATCTTTTACTCACCTGTACTCATCTTTTTAGGAGATTCAGATCCTTCTCTCCAAAATAAAAGATCACTACATCTCCTGTAACATACAGAGACAGGAGAGGAGAGACAGACAGCAAAAGGCACGCAGCATGGTAGAGTGGGTAGAGAGCAGGCTTGGAGCCAGGAAGAGTGGAACTCAAGCCTCATCTCTAGCACCCTGACACACACTGCCTGTGTGACCCTGGGCAGGTTGCTTAAATTCTCCGTGCACGTGACTCTCTAAGACTCTGAGTTTTAAGAGGACATGTCAGAGTTGCAGAGAAGGTGCCTTCCTGCACAGTCCCTGACCCCTATGGTATAGGAGTCACCTCCCACAAACTCCAACTTGTTCTCCCCTCCCCCTCATCGCAACCCTTGTGGGTGAGCCAGCAAAAGGGAAAGAATGTAATTGGATTGTTTTGCTTCTTTATTTTCTCTTTGGTTTTTCAACACAAAAAGACATGCATTCTGTAGAATAAAAAGAAAACCAAATGGCAAGAGGAAATCAAGTGAACAGTGGATTAGTCCTTTCTGGTCAGGTTCCATTGTCAGGTGAAAAGGCTGGTCCGTGACCCTAAAGCTAACACTGATCAGAGGAGGCGGGGTGTGCTGGTTTCTGAGATGGGGTGGGGGACAAGCACAGTTGCAGAGTAAGGTGTTCCTCTTAGCCTGAAATCATTGTGGTCCTCTTTCACACTTCTAGGAAAAGTGGGAAACACAACGAAGGTTTCATTCACAGACACTTGGAGTGGTGTAAGATCATAATCCACTGAGCTCCTCAGTCCTATTAAATCTTAATGGGTGAAGTTTCTTAGGGACATGCTCTTCTTTAACAGTGTCAATTTGACTGATCAAAACCACCAGGAATCAGATTGGTATGGCTACCATGACATCAATGTAGCCATCAGACTAGATACCTCTCTATGGCAGTGTAGCTGACTTTAAAGTATGAAAAGACACTCACATGGTCATTGGTATTCAGGAGCTGGAATTAAACCAATGATTTGGCCTTCCATACACTTAAATCTTGACTGCATCACATAGACCTAGATCACTTTAGGGACTAGAATTCAGTCATTAATGGAAAAACTACAATCTGGCACGATATGGACCTAAGTGTGTTTCATCCAAAGCTGTTCAATGTATCTGGCCTAAGCTATTTAGAGATTTACGAGTGCCACGGATAGTTAATGGTGCTATATTTTAGGATATTGTCTTCAAAAGCTACAAGGGAAACAAAAAAAAATTACAAATGTTGACAATTTTTGTTACAAAATAGAAACGTTAACTTTTGGTCTCTTTTGTAATATACCCAGTGTAAACACAACACAAGATAACAGTGCCCGCTAGCCAAAGGCAATATCTCATTGATAGAGATTTCAAAAAAAAAAAAAAAAAAAAAAAAACCTGAGTACCACAACTTGTGTTCAATCATAGTAAGCTTTAAAAACAAACAAAAACTCTAAATTTTATTCCTCATAGTAAAGACCCAGTGCATAAATTTTCTTTTAGAATGGTTATTTCCTCTAACAGTGAGGAACATGGGAGCAAGAACGGGATCTTATATAGGGTAAACTTCCAACCAAACCAAATGTGGAACATGAGGTCTAGTGCAGATCATCAATTGGGACAGAAGGAGAGTCCAATGAAAGCCTCTCCAAGAAGAGCTAGGAATCACGGTGCATGGGAAAGAACGCTGCCTTGAAACCAAAGGCTCTGGGTCTGAATACTGTATTACCTTGGCAGAGTCACCTAATTTTTGGGGGCCTCGGATCAAAATAAAGAGGTTGGATTAGATGTCCTCTGTGACGGTCCTTTCCCCTGTAACTACTCCAATCTCATGAGGCCCAGACAATGACCACCTTACCACTGAATCTCCAAGGATAAGGTGCCATTTTCACCTCCATTGTCTTCTAGCAGAACTTTTTGTTAAAATAATAACAATTTTGATATCAGAAGTTGAAGGAAAAGTCCATCATGCACACACTTACAAGTTTCATTTTATTTTCCCAACTTGTTCTGGCTCTGTTACAAAAGACAGTGGGACAGAGAAAGCCTTTGACTCCCCAGCAAGCCCCAGAAATAATCAGGGGGTTCTACTTCCTTGTTATAGTAGAAGTCTTTTAAGAAACAGTGTCAGCAGTCTGCAGGCTGCTCTCTTGTGCACAAACTGACTTTATTATGTCAAAGGTCCCAACTAGGAGGCGAAGGAGGCTAGACTCTCATCGTGAGGCCACTGGCAGAGCGATGGAAACATACAGAAAGATGGAACTTAGAGGTAAAAGAAGGATGCTTTTTTTTCTGTTCTGCATGCCACATACGCGTCTTGCATAAACCCAAATGGTCCGCATTACTGGTCCGCCAAGGAGGTTAAAAAAAAAAAAAAGACAAGCCTTGGAATTACGGACCAGTCGGAAGCACAGCAGACCCGCCGGCAAGCTAAGGGCACTGAATTCAGCTGGCCAATGTTGGTAGGAAGGATCCAAGCTTTGGAGCGTTAGAGCTACCACAGAGTCATCGATGTGCACATCATGAAAAGGACACATGCAAGAACTGGGTCCTTAAAAGTGAAGGTTGGATACAGCCCTGCTGTTTTCCTAACAACCAGAAGGTAAAAGTGGGAATAAAAGGAAAACTGAAGAAGTTGGATAAAAACAAGAGCTGTGAGTCTGTCCTTAAAGAATATGGAGCAATGGAAGGACCTAGGAGCCCTGGCTGACTTCTTGGGAGCACCAAGAAAAGTGATGGATGGCGGGGCAGGGAGCACCAGGTTCCAGACCTACTGCACCGATGATGAAAAACTTGCGTGCACTCGTGGCACAAAGCTCCGCACGGGCGATACATCCAGCCCAAGGACAAGTCTAAATCTCAACTTCAAATGTCTGCTGTTGATCCTGACCACTGACCAACACTTGGTGCAGTACAGGCCAAAGCCCAGCTTGGATCCCACGCACATAGCAAGTCTTAGAAAATCTGTCGTTGTTCACACCTGCAGAAGTGCATCTCTTTGAATGTTTGGCAGTTCTCCGTTTCATACAAAGGTTTGCTGCTTGTGTCTTTTATCCATTTTTTTTTCTTTCTGCAAACCCAAAGAAGTGGTCCGCTTTTTAAAATTCCATTTTCTTTCCAAAATGAGGAGAGAAAAACGTTCATATTCTTCAGTCTTGCTTTCAAGTGTCCTTTCTGTTTTGTCCAGATCAAGACAAAAAACCGCATTCAAAACCCAAACTAAAACATGAGAAAAACCTATCAGTTTCCCCTCATGCATCTATGCAAGGATATAATCCTATGTGCTCTACTCTATCATAGAAGGAACATGGTGTTTTGCAACAGACAAGCTGCCACCATTAAATATACTGCACTGATACCAGGGTCATTTGCCCTGAACACACAGAATGTACACCTCTCGACCACAGACCCACACACATTACACAGGGTTGGGCCACTGCAGCTGCTCCATGGAAAATCCCACACACTGTGGCTGGAAAATGGCCAGACATATATAAATGCTGGTCATGAAGCCAAACTAGGAAGGACTAGGAGCCCACTTGGGCAAGTTGGAGTGTGGGAGCTTGGTTTGAATGGAGCGCTTCATGGGCATCAGCTACGGAGGAGGGTGCTGCACCATGAGATGGCAAGCCACGGAGGACCCAGTGATGACGGCTTCATGTTGTGCGTTTCAGTGATCGTGGCCTGTCTGGCCGGAGGGCCATGTGGTGATGACTTAAGCACCTGGAAAACTGTACCTCCCATGATCTCACATTACACCCCTAGTTGATGTGCTTCTTCTTCCCAGGATTGTCACTTGAACCCATGGTTTGAACCCCACCCCACACGTCCCACTTCTGCTTTAAATGGTGAGGAGGGGAATGCAGCCTACACCCACCCCTCCTTCATGACACACCATGGGGGCCATGAATGTCCAGCGGTTCGTTTCTGGGTCATACATCTCTACTGAGCTCAGGTTGGACTGTCCGTCATAGCCTCCCACGGCATACAAGCGCCCACAGTTTGCTACCAGGGAGACCCGGCTCCGGCGTGTGTTCATGGGGACAATTAGGTACCACTGGTCTGCCACGGAACTGTAGACCTCAGCGATGCTAAGGAAGCCAGAACCATCATAGCCCCCGCAGACGAACATCTTACTGCCCAAGGAGGCAGCTCCGTGACGGCAACGTTTGTTGAGCATGCTTGCCACTGGGTGCCAGGTGGCTGTGTGATGGTTGTAATATTCCACCTGTAGTTGGGAGGGACAGGCACACAAGAATCAAAGGAAAGCTGGATCTCCATCCCCACACTAAGTTAAATCTATGATCTCCTGTAGCACTGTAACATAACTGCCTTCCCACTGGTGACTGGAGAATTCTAGGCTAAGCTTTGCTACTCATATGTGGTGTGATCTTGGGTAGGTCATTGCTCATGTCTAATCCACAACCTCCTCAGTCATACTCGGGGCTGATACTGGTCCCCTGCTTCTCAACTGAACTGTGGAGTATGCTTTTCAAGGGCAGGTTAGCCTTTTCTAGCACAAATGCTAATTTTACATGTTTAAACAATAAAATCTTGAACAAACTATGGTCCTTTAATGTAAGGGAATTTTAAGATAACTACAAATGACCAATTTGAAGAATATGAAGAAATTACGGAAGGAAATTAAATAATGCACAGTAAAGAAGTAGAATTATGAGAATAACAGGCATACTGACCACTACAAAGGACATATCATAGAAGGGGGCAGACCAAGAACAGAAGGGGAAATGAGAGGAATAAGGGAAACAGTGTCATCATTAAATTTTAAAAATTGAAGACAGTTTTCAATGAGGTTTTATATTGGTTTGTTATATTGTTTTAAAAAATAAAATAGAAAAAAAATCAAATGATACAAAAAATTGCTCAGAAACTTAGTTACTAGGAGCCTGTCTTGCACATAATGGTAACCTAACAAATATCAGATGCCTTTAGGACGAGGACATGAAAAGAGGGCTAGAAAATGTGTTTTAAGCTAGAATGGGCAATTTAGTTTTGTTTTTCTTTTCTATTTGTACTAATTTTCTGGAAGTTAGGAACTAACTACAGTGAGTATGGTGACCTGTATTACCTCCAAACCTTGTTTTCCTTAAGCAATCCTTTGGCGTCATTTTTTTCAGGTGACAGACTAATACTTAATGAAGGAACACATGCTAAGGGGTGGGGATAAAGTGCCCTGAACCCAAAAGAAACAGAGACTCACACTATTGAATATCTGTAAACCATCATGTCCTCCAGACACATATATTCGGCCTTCAAATACAGTGACACCTGCTGCACTTCGGTTTGAGCTCATTGGGGTCACTATCGTCCACCTTTAAGAGACAGTCAAGAAAGAAAAGTATACATGAAATTCAGTCACCTGCAAGGCTTCTCCGCCCTTCAGAAACAGCTTATTAGAGCTAACAAGACTTACTATATCTATAACGTGAGCTTTGTATAGATCTCCATCACAAAGTTAACTCTACTAAGTTTCTCATGTTTGTTGCCACACATTAGCAATACAAACAAAACATTCCAATAAAACAAAGAATGTGAGTTAATACTGTCCCTCATTTAAATGATCTATTCAATTCTTCCTCTCTTCTGTGAACTCTTTTATTAAATCTTTGTCTCATTCAAAGCACTGGCCCTGAATTTCTAAGAAGCACATAAAGTTAAATGGGCAAACAAAGTCTTTGGGTACCAAAGCAGCAAATTTCTTGAACCCTTTTTCATAACTGGATCCCCAAAATGCTCATGCAGGAAAGATAGGAGAAAGCACCAGGCTGAGCAGGGAGCTCTTACTTGTCTGTTTCAGGGGAGTACGTCTCCACAGAGTTGAGGGAAGAATTGCCATCATATCCACCACAGACATAGATTTGTCCATCCAACACAACTGTTCCCATAGCACTGAAACAAAAGCACAGTAGAACAGGCATTAGTAATGCACACACATGTTCCTCCTCATCAATCAATACCCATAACCTCCAATCAATAGACCGCCGCCATCACTATCAGGTCACAGCTCTGATCATAGCTCACACACTAACTGCCTGCCTACGGTGAAGTCACTTCCCTTCTTGGAGAACCTGCTTCCTTCTCTAGGGTCTCTTTAAGCTCTCTCTCTCTCTCTCTCTCTCTCTGATCTTAATTATAAATCTGATATAGCATTTCGGGAGGCGTACGCAGTAGATATTCAATGTTCAATTAATCAATCAACAGGTATTTATTAAGCATCTACTATGTGCCAGTCACTGGAGATATAAGTACAAAGATGAAAAACATTCCCTACTAGAAATGAACTTATACTCTAACAGGTGGGACAAGTCCATATTTAAATATATATCCATATGCATATATGTGTGTATATGTACATATATAATATACACGCAGCATAAATATAAAGTTAATAAATACAAATTGGTACAAAGTAATTAAGTACAAGTGTGAGAAGAAGTGCCCAGCAATAGTGGGGAAAGGTCAAGAAAGTCTTCACAACTCACCAAAAAAAAAAAAAAAGTCTTCACAAAGAAGATGGCGTTAAAGCTGTATCTTGAAATAGGAAAGTGACCATGAGTTGTCGAGAGGCAGGGAGTGCATTCTAGGTGTGGGATTGGCCAGTGCAAGACACAGAGACATGTGAAGAACAAAGAAAAGCCAGTATGGCAGCACTGAGGTGTAGAGGAAGGGAGGTACGGTCCAATGGGACTGGAAAGATAGGTTGGAGCCAGGTTGTGTAGGGCTTTGAAAGCCAAACAGAGAGGTTACATTTTATCCTAGAGGAAAGGAAACTGCTAGCGTTGGCTGAGTAAGGGAGTTATACGGTCCTATCTGATCTTAAGGAAAATTATTGTGATAGTGAGATGGACTGGAACGGTGAGAGACCTGAGGCAGGAAACCAATTAAGAGACAACTGAGATAATCTTGGTGAGGAATGATGAGGTCCTGACCCAAGCTGGTAGCTACGCCAGTGAAGAGAAAGGGGCAGATGCAAGGGAAGTTGTGAAAGTAGAAATGGCAAGATCTGGCAACTGATTAGCTAAGTGGGGTAAGGGAGCATGAGTGGTTAAGGCTACAGCTAAGATTAGAAACTGAAGCTATTCAAAGGCTGGGTGTGCCTCTGACAAAAATTGGAAGTTTGAAAGAGAGTTTGAGGCAGAAAGACAATGAGTTTTAGACCCACTGAATACAATACCTGGGATGTCAAGTTTGAACAAATGTCTAACAGGCAGCTGATGATCCAGGACTTACACTCAGAAAAGACACTGAGGTTGGCTACCCAATTTGAGAGTCATCTGCACAGAAATGATAGTTAAATCCATGGGAAATGATGTGGTTTCCAAGAGAAAAATAACAGAAGAAAGAAAGCCTACAACAGAACGTTGGGGAACACCAATGATTAGGGGGTGAGATGTGGAAGATGAGCTAGGACAGGAGACTGAGGAGTGGGCAGAAAGCTAACAAGTGAACCGGGACAGCAGAGCATCATGAAAACTCAGAAAGGAAAGAAAATCCAGAATGAAAGGGTGGCTAACACTGTCAAATACAGCACAGAGGGTGAGGATCAGGCCTCAGAAAAGACTCAGATTTGGCAAGTAAGAGGTTAAGTGATGAAATCAAAAGTAAAAGACTGAGAAGTGAATGAGAAGAGATGAAGTAGAGGCAGCGAGCTTTTTTTTTTTTTTCCCCAAGGAATTTGACTGAGAAAGAGAGAGATATGGGCAGCAAGGTGGCACAGTGGGTAGAGTGCTAGGCCTGGAGTCAGGAAGACTTGAGTTCAAATCCTGCCTCTGATATTTACTAGCTGTGTGACTCTGGACAAGTCACTTAAACTCTGCTAGCCTCAATTTCCCCAACTGTAAAATGGAGATAATAACAGCACTTACCTCACTGGGTTGTTGAGAGGATAAAATGAGATAACACTTGTCAAGTACTTTGCAGACCTTAAAGCACTATATAAATGTATATATAAATAATATAAACTATTATTAAGAGGCAGTTAGGCTGCACAGCAGATAGAGTACTGGGCCTGGAGTCAGGAAGACCTGAGTTCAAATCCAGGCTCAGATACTTACTAGCTGTGTGACCCTACTGAAGTTGCTTAACCTCTGTCTGCTTCAGTTTCATTATCTATAAAATGGGGAGAAGAGCACCTACTTCCCAAGGTCATTACAAGGATAAAATGAGATCATATTTTGTAAAGCACTCTGAAAACTTTAAAACACCAAATGAAGCTAAGATGGTGATGATGATGAGCCTTTAACAGAAAAACATGTCCTCATCAAGGCCTGAGTGCCACATCTTAAGAGGGATGTGATCAAATATAAGAAAAAAAGGAAGGCCACCAAGGTTATAAGAGGTGCAGAAATAAGGTCATATGAGGAATCACTGCAATAACTGGAAATGAAACCTGGGAGAAGAAAAGAAAAAAAGTGGAACAGGAAAACTATCTCAAATCATTGAAGAACTATTGGGTGGTAAGGAAATTGGACCTACCCTATGTGACTTAAGAGGTAGGGTAGGTAGATGGAAGTAAGAAGAAAACAGATTTGGCACAATGTAAAGAATTTTCTAACAATCAGAGCTCTGTAATGGGCTGTTTTTTTCAGGTATAAGTTCACCATCACTGAGAGTGAATGTACAGCTGTCACAGTTGCTGCAGACAGACATTCCAGCATGGGCTAAGAGGCTTGACAAAATAACCTGAGATCCTTTCAGATTTAAGTGTAGCTATCAGTCACCTACATCTTCTCTTCCTCATATGATGCCCTCAGAATTCACTTGAGCAGGTAGAAAACACAGTTGCCACGCCTCCTTTCCTTAGACTCTCTTCTTAACTCTCAGCGGTCTGACTTCCAACCCTGTCATTCCACAGAACTCCTCACGCCCCCCTTTTCAATCTGTTGCCATGTATAGCCAATTCTACCTTCTTGCCATCTCTCACATAAGTTCCTTTCTCTCCTCTGACATTGACCCCTCCCCCCTGCTTTGCAGACTGTCATCACCTCACACCTGGACTACTGCAGGTGGTTTTCCCTGCCTCAAGTCTCTCCCCACTACAGTCCAACTTCATTCAGCCACCAAACTGCCATGGTGCTTGCCATTCTCCTATTCAATATACCTATTACCTTCAGGATCAAATAAAAACTCCTCTCTTCGGCTTTTCATGCCTTTTTCCTGGTCCCATTTTACCTTTTCAAAATTCTTACACCTTACTCACCTCCACATACCCTACAATCTAGTGTCAATGATCTGTATCCCTGCTCACACAAACTACTCGCTCTCCCATATCCATGCATTTTTCCTTGCTCTCTCATCATCTTCAACCTCCTGGCTTCCATGGTTCCTTCAAGTGGTACCTAAGATTCCACCTTCTACAAGAAACCCTTCCCATCCTTCTTAATGCTAGTGCCTTCCCCCTAAGATGATCTCCAATTTATCCTGTATTTATCTTGTTTGTACATACTTGTTTGTAAGTTGATCCACAGCTAGATTTTGGGTTCCCTAAGGTTTCAGATTACTTTTTGTCTTTCTTTGTATCTCCAGGGCTTAGCATAGTGTCTGGCACATAACATGCACTTAATAAATACTGGTTGACTTGACTTTCTGATATGAAATACAAAATGACCTTCAGTCTTATGAAATGACAAAGACAACGGCAGATTGGTAGAAAGTAGACACAGTTATTTTAGATAATTTGCTGAGTCTTCTAACTTATAACCTAGAATTTGGCATTTTTTTGTACAATGACCAAAAGTTGACAAATTGAACTGTATTAATTTTGACATCTTCACTACAAATAAAACTAGAAGATAAAGGGATGTTGTAGCTAAACAAAAGACGATTCACAGGTTCTGCTTAAAGAGGCAAAAGAAAAGAGTTTTTAGAGTTGGTTTTATTGATGCATGCAAGGATAAGAAATATCACTTCAAAGATATTTGATCCATTTATATTGCAGTACTTATGAGAAGAATTTGTAAGACCACAATGAAAATAATTCCAGTTTACATGCCTTTTGTTGAAAGAATAAGGAGGGAAAGAAATTTCATGAAGAACCCACTATGAACCAGCAAATTAAGTCTCTGTCAAAGGCTTTTTCTGCCTCAATTCATATAATCATATAATAATCTTGGATGTTTTTGCTTTTAATATAATTATGTTAATTGTTTCCCTAATGTTGTGTTCCTAATGTCACTTCTAATGAATCCTTCCAGCTCTAGTACAAAATTCAAACAGATCAAAATGGCCCAAGCCTTTCTATTCACCCTGGAATTGGACCCTCCTACACATGCTATCTTTCCATATTGAGATGTTAGTTTCTTGAGAGCAGAGAGCATCTTGATTTTGATATGTATCTTTAGTGCTTATCACAGTGCATGGCAGATAGTAAATGCTTAATAAATGCTTTATTTTTTCATTCATTCATTCATTCATTCACCAAAATGAATAATTTTTTGACATACTGTCAAAATCATTTTGCTACTACTTTAAAATTTTTGTTTTTATGTACATTAATGATACTGGTGTATAATTCTTTTTTTTTCTTCTTTTTTGGCTGGGCAATGGGGTTAAGTGACTTGCTCAGGGTCACAAAGCTGGTAAGTGTTATGTGCCTGAGGCCGGATTTGAACTCAGGTCCTCCTGAATCCAGGGCTGGTGCTCTATCCATTGCACCACCTAGCTGCCCCTACAATTCTTTTTCATTGCTTTACTTTTCACTAATTTAGGAATTGGGGCTCTATTTGTTTCAAAAAGGAATTTGGGAGAATGATTTTATTCTCAATTTTTGAGAATAATTTGTGTAGCAGAGGTAACTTTACAGAATTCACCTATAAATCCACCTAAACGAGGGTTCTTGCATTTTGATGGTTCCTTTATAGTTAATTTTATTTCTTTCAGAAATTCGATTA